CTCCCAAGTACTGGAATTACAGGCGTGCACCACCACACCCGGCTATTTATTTAGTACTGGTGATCAGGACCTTGTGTTTGAGAGGCAGACCTGGTGCCACGGAGCTAAATCCCTGGCTCTGTTCTTATTTAAAAGATGGGAAATAAGCCAGGCATGGTGGTGCAAGTGTGTAATCAGCACTTAGGTGGCTGAGGCAGGAGGCTGTGAGTTCAAGACCAGCCTGGACTACATAGTGAGTTCCAGGTCAGTCTCAACTACATAGTGAGACCCTGCCTCAAAAATCCAAAAAAAAAAAAAAGATGGGAAATAAAGTAAATGTTTCTTCGGTGCTGCAGATGCAGGCTAGGGTTTCCCAAAGCCTGAGCATGTGCTCTGCAAGGCCGAGCCCAGGATGTGAGCCACTGCAGGCAGGATCCTTTATCCATTCCACACCCCCTCTTCACAGTGGCTCAGCCCCACCTCCGTCGTCCAGGAGGCCCAACCCTGTGAGAAATGAAGGGACAAGAGCTCCGAGCTGAGCGAGGGCAGACCAAGTTGGGACGCTCACGTACACCCCATAGTCACAGCACTTTAGGCTATCAAAAGGAAGTGACAAAAACCCCAGCCCTCTGGGAGGCTGAGGCAGGAGGGTTGACAGTTCAAAACCAGCCAGAGCAACTCTGAATTAGGGAGACCCTGTCTCAAAATAAAACATTAAGAAAAAAAGGGGAGGGCTGGCGATTTAGCTCAGTGGTTCTGCCACCTGCCTTGAAAGCTCAAGGTCCCGAGTTTGATCGCCAGTACCAAAAAAAGGGGGAAACTTTAAAAAAAAAACTTAAAAATTGGGCAAAAATGGAGACAAATTTCTTTCAGGTTTGGCGCCATGTATCTAATTCCAGTACGCTGGAGGCTGAGGCAGGAGGGTCCTTTTGAGTTCAAAGCCAGCCTGGGCTTCATAGCAAGAACCTGCCTCTAAAAAGAAAAAAAAAAATCCCAAAATAGACACACTCCTGCCGGGCCACGCCCCCCTCCCCACTGAGGATACCAGCGAGGTTTGCCTGCGTGCTTTTGCCTGTGTCACTGTTGGGCAACCAGGAGGAAAGTGGAGGACACTTTGGAGGAATTTTGTGGTGGAAAATGCTGTAGAAGCTGCAGCCACTGAGAGCAGCTGGTGAGATCGCTTCTGGGCCGCTGTGCGCCGCACTGCCCCCCAGCGCCCACGGCGGGAAGTCCCGTGCAGGCCCGGCCGGCCCGGAGCTGTCCGAGGTGCTGCCCGCAGCCCCAAAGATCCCAGAACCAGCCTGGGGCCGGCTCGGAGTCTCAGAGGTCCTGGCCTGGGCACCCGCGGGGAGGGCCGAGAGTGCCTACCAAGGTCAGGTGAGATTCGCTTACCGGACACATGAGAATGGGTCTGTTAGTGATAGACCGAAATGCTCACACGGGAGGAGTGCTCTCAAAATAAATAAAAGGAGTCTCTAAATAAATAAAATAAGTACGTAAGACAGACCATATCTCTCACTGTGCACTAAACTAAAATCAAAATGGATAAAAAATCTAAATATAAAAAAAAGCATCAGCTGGAAGATAGAATAGGTAAAACTCTGGAGGACACAGATGTAGGCAGACTTTTGAACAAAACCCCTATTACACAAGAAATATTACAAAGAATCAACAACTGAGACCACATCAAATTAAAAAGCTTCCGCATAGCAAAGGAAACCAACAGAGTGAAGAGACAACTCAGAGTGGGAAAAATTTACCATTTTCTTCTCAGACAGAAGACTAACATCTGGAATAAAAAGAACTCAAACTACTGCCCCCCCAATAAAGACCCAGTGTAAAGATGGGCACCTGAGACGAAGATTCCTCTCAGATGGAAACGCACCACCATCACCAGTCATTGGAGAGCTGCAAATGAAAACAACGCTGAGATTCCACTTCACCCCGGAAAGAATGGCTGCTACCAAGAAATCAGGGCTGGGGATTTAGCTCCGTGGTGCTGCCACCTGCCTCACAAGCCTAAGATCCTGAGTTCAATCCCTGGTACTGCACCCCAAACAATAAAAATAAATACATAAATAATGCAAGCAAGTAAGTAACAAGTGCTGGTGGGGCAGAGGGAAAACACTGAACCCTGCTCCACCGCTGGTGCGAGCAGAGACTGGGGCAACCAGTGCAGAAAGCAACATGGAGAGTCCTCAGAGAACTAAGACTGGAGGTCCCATTGGACCCAGCTTGGCCTCTTCCCCAAGGAGTTAAAAGCATCACACCACAGCGATATATTCATACTCGTGATTATCACAGCACAATTTAAAATAACTAAATCTTAGAAACGGCCCATCAATGATGAATGGATAAGGAAAATGTGGCATTTATAAACAATGGAGTATTACTTCCCATAAACTTGAGACATGTTTAGGTAAATGGATGCACTTTGAGAACATGATCTTTTTTTTATTTTTTGGTTTTTGAGACAGGGTCTCACTATGTAGTTGAGACTTCCCTGGAACTAGTAGCCCAGGCTGGTCTCAAACTCACAGTGATCCTCCTGCCTCAGCCTCCCAAGTGCTGGGATTATAGACGTGCGCCACCACACCCAGCTTCAAGAACATACTCTTAAGGGAACTACGTCAGACACACAAGTCTAAATGCTGCACTGTTCCTTGGGTGATAAACAGGAAGGGTAAATGAGGAGCAGAATGGAGAACAGTCATTGGGAAGTAGGAAGATCACGTTAGAGGGGAAGGTGGACAAGGGAGGGAGGGGAGGAGGAAGGGATTAAGGAAAAATGGAAGGAAAAATGAAAACAACGTTTTGTAAATGGGGAAGTGAAGAAGGGGCAAAGGGAGGGGAGGGGAATGGGAAAAACTGACTTAAGATATATCATTTGCCAAGCCTAGGTCACATGCCTGTCAACCCAGCACTCAGGAGCCTGAGGCAGGAGGATCCCTGTTTGAGGCCAGCCTGAACTACAAAATGAGACCCTGCCAAAAAAAAAAGACATTATTATTATTATTATTATTATTTATTATTATTGGTAGCAGGGATCGAACTCTGGTCCTTGCTCTTGCGAGGCAGGCAGTGGAACCACTGAGCTAAATCCCCAGCCCTAGACGTATTAAGTACAGGTAGAAATTCCCTATGGTGAATGTGATCATTCTGCATGGCAAATGTGTAAGTAGGAATAGAAACCAATTGATCAGGCCCAGGGATTTAGCTCAGTGGTTCTGTTGCCTGCCTCACAAGCACAAGCGCCTGAGTTGGATCCCAGGCACTAAGCAAGCAAACAAAACAAACAGAAAAACCCAATCAGTGTATGAGTGAAAAGTAAAAGGGTGAGAAGCATGAGCTCACTCCCTCCTGGCGGTGCCTGGGGCCCCTCCTGCCACCACTCAGGTGGTGCAGGCTCACTCCCTAGAGGATGCCGGCCAGTGGGCCCCTCACCTGCACCTCCCAGGGCCACCCCTCCACCTGGGCGGCCCTGCTGTGCTGGCCAATAGGGCAGGAAGCAAAGGGGGCTGGAGCAGGTTCCAAATCGGTCCAAATCAATGGCCCTCAGCACTGCTTTCTGAAGTGGCTGTCAGGTCAAAGCCACCAAAGGTGCTAAAAAGTCGTTGTGCCCGGGAGAGCGGGGTAGGGGTAGGGGGGTGAGGGTGTCTCCCTGTCTCTCCGCAGCTGCCCTCCTGGGCCCTCCTCTTGCTCCTGGCTGGGCTGTAGGCCCTCGAGGTTTGTTTTGAGACAGGATCTGGCTAAGCAGCTCAGGCAGGCCTCCAACTCCCTGCTCCTTCCCCAGTGCTTCACATTCTTTATTTTTTTGGTGCAGGATTTTGCTAGGTAGCTCAGACTAGCTATGAATTTGCAATCCTCTGGTCTCAACCTCCTCAGGAGCGGGGATTTTAGGCTCACACCCCAGGGCCTGGCTGTCATTTCTGTCTTTTGTGAAGAAGTACTGGGTCCAACTGGGCACGGTGGAGCATGCCTAAGATCTAAACTGTCCGGAAAGCTGAGGCAGGAAGGTTGCAAGTTCCAGCCCAGCCTGGGCAATTTGGCAGTTTGGGAGCCGCCCATCTGGTCTCTGTTCCCCTGGCCCCTCCCCGCCTGTCAGCTGTTCAGGGCTCAGAGCCGCAGTTCCTTCTCCCACAGCCGGTCTTTGCACCCTCTCCTCCGCCACCGCCTGAGCCTGCAGGTAACTAACTCTGCTCCTCTGAAAAGGATCTACCATTTTCCCCGCTTTAAACATTTGCTTCTTTTTTCCCCTCGCTTTAGCCTCTGCTCCTCCTAGCCTGGCACGGTGTGATGGAAGGAGACCCTCAGGCCCCGCATGCACCCAAGGACAGAGCAGGGGGCGAGGGAGGCGCCCGAGGCCAGCCGGGTCTGCAGCTGGGGCCTGGGGGGTATGGAGGGAAGAGCTGAGAAAAGAACTCTTTCTTCCAGCTCCGCTCCTAAAACATCTCAGCCTCCTAACACAATACTGTGCTTGCTAGCCAGCCTTGCCGGCACACACCTGTAATCCCAAATCCAGGAGGCTGAGGCGGGAGCGTGGTGAGTTCAAAGCCAACCCGGGTAACATACGAGCACACGTCTAGCCCGGACTACACAGCCAGACTCTATCTCAAAACATCTCTATCTCCTCTCTATGAGGAGTGGCTCCAGGCTGATACCCAGAACTCCAGGATCCTCTGTCCCAGGCTGAACAGCCCAGCCTGGGAGGGAGGGAGCCGGTCACCTCCGTCCTGAGAGCGAGAGAGCAGACCCTCTCTCACCTCCCAGGCTGATGTGGTCTGAGTTCTTAAACTTGCTGTGCTGCCCCGTCTGGCCTCGAATGCATGGGCAGGGTTGATCCTCCTGCCTCAGCCTCTGGAGTAGCAGGGGCAAGAAGTGCACTCTACACCAAAGTACTGTGGGAAGGAGCGGATTCCCTGGGGAGCGCAGAGCCTAGGACTGATTTCCTCGGTCTGTGTCTGGCTGCAGAGTCACGAGGGCAGCTGAGAGGTTCCGGAGCAGTGCGGGGCGGCACAGCTGCCTGGGGAGCGGCAGGGACGAGATGGCCCTGGGAGGACAGCAGCAGGGGACAGGTGAGTGAGCGCCACACATCTTGAGTCTACAGAACACATGCTAGGCCGGAGGGTGGCAGCTTTACTGAAAGAGAAAGAGCAGGGAAATTGCCCTGAGCAGGGTGCACCCCTGTAATCCCAGCACTCGGGAGGCTGAGGCAGGAGGATCACTGAGACTCTGAGGTGAGCCTGGGCTACATAGTTCAAGGGCAGCCTGCACTATGAAAGGCTGTGGGTGTAGCTCAGTTCGAAGGCCCTCATGCAAAGGTTCAGTCCTCACTACCTAAATAAATAAATAAATAAATAAATAAATAAATAAATAAATAAATATAAAGTGAGAAATGAAGTAATTAAGGACAAAGGGAGAAAATCGTGGGAAGTGAGACTCAAGGCAAAAGAATTGGAAATCAGAAAGTGCTCTTTACTGAGGAGTTTTGCCTAAATTTGTCATCAGTCATTTGTTCTGAGAAGTTCTGGGGTTTTTGTTTGGTTGGTTGGTTGTTTCAGAGACAAGGTCTCCCTATGTGGTTTAGGCTGGCCTTGAACTCTAGGTAATGCTCCTGCCTCCTAAGGGATTACAAGTGTGGACCACCATGGCTGGCTTTTTGCTTGTTTGTTTTTGAGACAGGGCCTTACTATGGTTTAGGCTGGCTTTGCACAATCTATGTAGCCCAGGCTGGCCTTAAATTTGCAGCAAACCTGCCTCAGCCTCCCAAGGGCTGGGATTACAAGCATGGGCCACCACAAAAGGAAAGAGCGCTTTCTGCTTCGGAAAGCGGCAGAACCGTGGGAGGAGAGGGTTCTGAGCAGGACTAGTGGGAAAGCATATTTATGGCAATACAGCAAACGATGGCCGTGGTTTCCACTCAGACCGTGACTGCACCTGGGTCCCATGGGTGCGGGTGAGAGGCCGGTGGCCGCTGTGCACAGAGGTCTGGAGTCCGGCTGTGCTGTCTGTGTCCCTCCTCTGCAGCTGCTTCGTCCTGAGCTCTGTGGGTGAGTTCTGTGCCCCTGTGGGGCAGCCCGGGTCTTCTTCGGAGATTTCCTGGAGAAGTGGGTTCCTGACCTGACACACTTGCTCCTGCATCCCAGACGCGCGCTTGTCATGGAAGGCACGGTGCCCCTGGTGCCGTGATGTGGGCCGCTGTGTGGCCCTGGCTGCCCGGCCCCAGTGCGGTCACAATCTTTTCAGTCCCAGCAAGCTGTGCAACAAATACTGGGGCTGGAAGTCCGAGGTCAGGAGGTGGGCCCGGCACGTCTCCGGGGCCCTCTTTCTGGCTTGTACACATTGGCACCTCGCCCTTCGCCTATGGCAGGAGAGAGGACAGACTCTCTGGTGCCTGTTGTTTCTCTTGTTTTTTGTTTTGCATGTGAGGCAGGAACCCAGGGCCTGTGTATGCTAAGCTGGCGCTCTACCGCTAGGCCACAGCCCTTGGGTCCCTTCTCACAGGGTAATAATCCCATGCTAAGGGCCCCACCCTCAAGTCTTCTCTAAACCTCACCGCTGCTGGAGGCTGAGGCAGGAGGACCACAAGTTTTGAACTCAGCCTGGGCAATTTAGCAACAAAAAGAATGAAACAAATTCTTAATTCTTCTTTCTCTTTCCCAGTGATTCGGAATAGCTCTGTGTACAGCAGCATTGGCAAGAGGCTATCCAAGTTATGGAACCATCAGAAATACCTGGACATGGCCTGCAGGAGGGAGGAGGAAGGAGGTCAGTTCTCATTTAATAAGCAACAAAATTTCCTTTGTTCGTAACGCACTTCCCAGCCAGACAGTCTGTAGCTTTGGCACCAAGACTTTCCCATCCAGACTGGATTTTCTGTGGCTCTCTTCAGCCGTCCTGCATACGTTCTGAAATGACAGTGTCAGAAATGGAAACGGAAACAGCACGGGTTTGACCTCAGAACTCTTGCTTCCTCCTGCAGACCCTGCCAGCCCTCGATCTTGCCAGGTGTGCAGGCCACAGTGGCCCTCTCCTTTGGCTTCTGGAGTCACTGAGAAGTAGCACACACTCAATTCAGATAAGAATAAAATAATCCCAGGCACTCAGGAGGCTGAGGGCAGGATTGCCATGAGTTTGAGGTCAGTCTGGGCTACATAGTGAGTTCAATGCCAGCCTGAGCTACACATTGAAACTCTGTCCCAAAACAAAACAAAAAACCCCGAAGAATAAAGTAGTGCTGGGCTTACGGCATGCATCTGTAGTCCCAGCTTCTCCAGAGGCTGAGGCAGGATTCCTTGAAACCCACAGGAGTTCAAGGCCAGGTCAGGACACATGATGAGAAAACCCCATCTCGAGCTGTGGTGGTGCACGCCTGTAATCCCAGCACTCAGGAGGCTGAAGCAGGAGGATCGCTGCGAGTTAGAGACCAGCCTGGGCCACATAGTGAGTTCCAGGTCAGTCTCAACTACATGGTGAGACCCTGTCTCAAAAAAAAAGAAAACAAAACATCTCTTAACAGGAAGTGACACGAAGAGAAATAAACAGCCTTGCAGATGGGAAGTGGGAACTGTGGCGCGGGGCTCGGACCGCACCGGTTCGGTGCCTGCCTGGGGGCTGCGTCCCCAGAACCCGTGGTGTAAGAGTGGGGCAGGGCGGAAGAGTGGCTCCTGGGGATCCGAGGAGAGAGAAGAGCCAGAGGGTCCCCAGCTCCGCGGAAGGAGCTAGCAGCTGAGGGAGAGCAGAGCGGACTGATTGCGGAGGAGCAGCGAGGCCGCCGCCCACCGCAGTGGCCAGGGTTTGCGCCGATTTCTGTTCCTCTCGCACACTTGCTCTCAGCGTGGCTAGGACACTGCCGCCTGCAGATGTGAGTGGCGCAGCACAGGACGCTTCCGAGAGAACTGCGAAACGTCCGCAGCAGGGAAGGTATCCCAGGCCACGGGGCGCCCAGCAGGCTCTGTGCAGATGCTGAACGTGTCGTCTCCAAACTCACGCAGAACTGCTGGGAATTCCACAAGCGAAACTGCCAGTAGCTTAGGGGTGAGAACTCAGGGCCCCCTCCTCGCCGGAAGTGGCAAAAAGGCTGTAAGGGGGCTCAGGGGAAAAAGACCAGGTCTCAAGGGCGAGCTCATCTCGGAGGCTGGTGGAAGCCAGGGATCGTTTGTAATGGATGTAGAAGTAGATGACAAGATGGGTGTGGTGACGCACACCTGTAATCCCAGCGCTCGGGGCGGCTGAGGCAGGAGGATCGCTGTGAGTTCCAGACCAGCCTGGGCTACATAGTGAGTTCCAGGTCAGTCTCAACTATGTAGTGAGAGCCTGTCTCAAAAAACAAAAAAGAAGATGACAGAAATCCCGAGGTGCACATCCAAATAAAGTGGCTCTGCAGGGCATCTAGCTCAGTGGCACTGCGCTTGCCTCGCAGGTGCAAGGTCCTGAGTTCGATCTCTGGTACCAAAAAATAAAAAAGGTGACAGAGACAAGTGGAAAAGCTGTTTTCTGGACCCAATACAGAAAATAATAAGAAAAAGAAGATTATTGTTCAGGCAAAAGGTGGTGTATGGGAGTGGTGGTGCACACCTGTAATCCCAGCACTCAGGAGGCTGAGGCAGGAGGATTGCTGTGAGTTCAAGGCTGGTCTGAAGTACATGGCAAGATCCTGTCTCAAAAAGTAAAAAAGTGTTGTGGATACAGCTGTGTCTGCAGCAGAGCAGGCCAAGGAAGAGGAACGCTGAGGGGAGCGTTCTTGGGGCAGCAGCTGCTCCTGGCCACCACATGGTTATAGCATAACGGGCCCCTGTCTGGGGTTTGCCTGAGACAAAGCTCCCATTACCGGTTCTGAAATTCCCAGCCTATCCCCTCCCCACTACTCATTCTGTTAACAAAAGACATAAGTTCCTTCCTGTTGAACAGTGGTACAGGACAGTACAGTACAGAATGTTAGTGGAAAAGCCCTTCTATCTTGCAGGGCTTGAACTTGCAATCCTCCTGCCTCAGCCTCCCAGATCACCATGTTCAATACACATTTTAGAAAAAAAAAAGAACACTGAGAAACTTAATTGCATCTCCTGTGGCACTGTTGGGAAAGTCAAGTTTCAATGATGGAAGTTTTGATGCAATCATGTTATCTGTTTTTAAAAGTCCGCAAGCATTTCTTGTCATCTAGTTTGATTTTGCAGTCCTGGGGATTGAACCCAGGGCCTCCATACTGAGCTATATCCACAGCCATTTATATATTTCTCTTTTGAGACAGATCTCGTTAAGTTGCCCAGGCTGAGCTCAAACTTGTGATCCTCCTGCCTCAGTCTCCAAGAGGGCTGTCCCTTTGTTTCTGTGCCCCCTCAGTACCCTCCTGTGATAGACCACGAGTCACCCTGGTGACAAATGTCATGGCCCCACTGAGCACTCCTCTGGGGACAGTTCTTTCCTCAACTTTTGAATTTTTCAGACCTTAAGAAACTAGTTTTTTTTTTGTTTTTTTTTTTTTGGTACTGGGATCAAACTCAGGACCTTGCACTTTCGAGGCAGATGGCAGAACCACTGAGCTAACTCTCCAGCCCCCAAGTTTTATTTATTTTCTCTGTGGTAATGGAACCCAAGACCTTCACACTGAGCTATTTTCAGCACTTTTTGAATTTTTGGGGGGGGTACCAGGGATCAAACTCGGCACCTGGCACTTGCAAAGCAGGTGGCAGAACCACTGAACTAAATCTGCAGCCCCTTTCTGAATATTTTTTTTTTAAAAGACAAGGTCCTGCTAAGTTCCCAAGTTGCTCAGGCTGGCCTCCAACTCACAGCAATCCTTCTGCCTCAGCTTCCTCAGTGCTGGGATCACAGGTGAGGGCGACCACACTCACCTGCGGATCAGTTTAGCCGTCTCAGTTCACCAAGGCGGGTGGGAATTCTTTGTCTCTCTTCCTGTAGCTTTAAGAACATGTCTAGCCCAGTACAATAGCACACACCTATAAACTCAGCCACTTGGAAGGCTGAGGCAGGAGGATTACAAGTTCAAGGGTAGCCTGGGCAATTCAGTTAGGCTCTGTAACAAAATAAAATATAGCCGGGCATGGGGACGCATGCCTGTAACCCCAGCACTCAGGAGGCTGAGGCAGGAGGATCGCTGTGAGTTGGAGACCAGCCTGGGCTACATAGTGAGTTCCGGGTCAGTCTCAACTACATAGTGAGACCCTATCTTAAAAATAAAATAAAAAAAAAAGATTATGTCTCACCAAAGATGTGGTTCATGCGTGACCACAGCAAAGGGTGTCTCTCTGTTTCTCCCTATGTTCTAGAGAGCTGGAGCTGCTGCCCCAGCACCTGGAGGCTGTTCGAGGCCAGCTGTTACTTCATTTCTACCACAGTGCAATCTTGGAACCAGAGCCAGCAGACCTGTGCTGCTTGGCAGGCCGAGCTCGCTGTGATCCGCACGTCGGAGGAGCAGGTACAGGGGTGGCCAACATAGGCTCCCAGCAGGGCCAGAGCCAGCTTGTCGGCCTGAAAGTTGAAGGGGTTTGGGGAGGAGGCAGGGAGCTCCTTAATCTAGACTGCTCAGCGTGACTTTCTTTCTCTCTTTCAAGACAGGGTATCACTCAGGCTGACCTTGAACTCACAGCAATCCTCCTGCCTCAGCCTTCTGAGGGTTAAATTACAGGCGTGCGCCACCATACCATGAGAGTAGTGACTTTAATAAACACCAGGACCAAAGCTGGGTGAACAAAATAGTAAACTTATTTTTGGAGTGGGGGAGTCTGAGACATGGTCGCATTTTGTAGCCCAGGCTGGCCTTGAACTCATGGCAATCCTCCTGCTTCAGCTTCCAGAGTGCTGGGATTACAGATGTGCTTGGGCTACATAATGAGTTTAAGACCCACCTGAACTCCATAGCCAGTCTCTGTCTCTCAAACACAAACAGCGCTGGGGATTTAGCTCAGTGTTTCTGCCACCTGATTCGCAAGCGCGAGGTCCTGAGTTCAATCCCTGATACCAAAATAAATAAATAACAAAAAACAAAAGAACAAAAAGAAAGGTAGAGATCTAAGCTTAAATTTTAGAAAGTCAAATAATGTACAAATAAGAAGGGATTATTTTGACTTCGCTGTTTTGTCCCTCCCCCCATACTGGGACTTGAATCCAGGACTTAGCACTGAGCTGCAACTCTTAGCACTTTTTTTTTTCCTGGGTACAGGGGATTGAACTCAGGACCTTGCACTTGCCTGGCAGGTGCGGTGCCAGTGAGCTTCACCCCCGGCCCCAACTTTTTTTTATTTTTTATTTTGAGACAACTTCTGGCTAAGTGGCTTAATTGCCTGGCCTGAGCTCACCTTTTGGATCTTCCTGCCTCAGCCTCCCAAAGTGCCTGGGTTACGGGCACGTGCCACCACAGGTGGTCTAGATTACTCTGAGTGTCCGAGAGCCGTTGTTAGGGGTTTATGCTTCCCATTTTCTTCGTGATATTCACTAATGGCCAAGTCTGCCGAGTGCTAGGCACTGTGCGAGGTGTGAAATAGAAAGTTCAGGCAAACATAAGAAGTGGCACGCAATGGTGCGCACTCAATCTCAGCACCCAGGAGATGGCTGGGTGATCGCAAGTTCAAGGTCAGCCTGTGCCACACAGAGAGACCCCGTCTCTGAAAACCAAAATAAGCTTAGCTGAACATGGTGGTGCACACCTGTAATCTCAGCACTCAGGAGCCGGAGGCAAGAGGATCATTTTGAATTTGAGGCCAGCCTGGATTAAACAGTAAGACCCTGTCTCAAAAAACAATAAAAAAAGAAAATTACAAAATTTGACTTAATGTATTTGAAGATGCAACAAGAAATTCTAGATTTTAAAAAAATGCAAGGAATTAGAACTCAGTGTGTGGGTTTAATAGCAGAATAGACAGCTGGGCACGGTAACTCCCTCCCCTGTACCATATACCAGGAATCGAACTCGGGACCGTGCACTTGCCAGGCAGGTGCAGTGCCACTGAGCTACATCCCCAGCCCCTTTTTCTCTGTATTTTTCCGTACACCTGTGTTTGGCAATGGGATAAGGAGAGAGTCTGACAGATTCTGTGGTCGTGGTTGGGACTGGTTCCTGCATTTGCGAACATGCCGATCCTGTCCTGCCTGGCAAACCAGGCCCACACTTCTGGGCGGTGTGGCTTCTCCAGAATCTTCTCCCTTTCCTTTGTGCTCCCTAAGGGCCCCTAAGAACTCACTGCACCTGGAGCCCGAAGGCTGAGATTCCCTCCTTTTCTTCCCCCAGGATTTCATCACCCAGAGTCTGGAAGGCAGCTCTGCGTATTACATTGGGCTGTCAGATCCAGAGGGTCACAGGCGCTGGCAGTGGGTTGATCAGACGCCATACAACGCAAGCGCCACGTGAGTAGTTACGTAAAGGGACCCCGTCTCGGCCATACAGGGTGTTAGGATGTTCCATCCGTCAGCTAGGAAGCTGAGGAAGCAGACAAAATGCCACAACATTAAAACAAAACAAAAAACTAAATCTGGGCTGGGCATGGAGGCACAGGCCTGCAATCCCAGCATTCGGAAGGCTGAGGTAGGAGGGTCACCATGAGTTCAAGGCCAGTTGGCCACACAGCAAGACCCTGTCTCCAAAACAAAACAAAAAAACCCTAAAGCTATTTGACATCGAAGTCTGTGCTTTTAGCTACACATTTCTCTGTAAACTAACAGAGAACAGGGCCAGGATTTAGCTCAGTGGTTCCGCTGCCTGCTTCATAAGCACAAGGTCCCAAGTTCTATCTCCAGCACCAGAAAACAAATGAACAAACAAACAAACAAACAAAAACTAGAATATGTCAGAGAATAATAAATTAAATTGGATGCTTTTAAAAAAGAAATAAACTGTTTGTTTTGAGTGTCTTGCTACTTAGCCCAGACTGACCTGAAACTTGCAATCCTGCCTGAGCCTCTCTGGGGCTGGTGCCACCTCTTCCCCCACCCCCTTAGTCTGAGAGACAAGGTTCAGGCAGGAGTGGAGCTGCACCTGCAATCCCAGTACTCTGGGAAGCTTAGGTTGGAGAATGGAAAATTTGAGCCCATCCTGAACAATTCACAACTTGGGAGACAGTCTCAAAATTGAAAATACAGGGCCTGGGACGTAACTCAGTGGTGCCACCGCCTGCCTTGCAAGCACAAGGTCTCAATTTGATCCTCAGAACCAAAAAACAAAAGTAAAACTACAAAAAGAGCTGGGCTAGGTTATGCCTGCCAGTAGTCCTGGCACTCAGGAGGCTGAGGCAGGATTGCCATGAATCCTCCACCCATACTGGGGCTGGAACTCAGGACCCTGTGCCTGCCAGGTAGGTGCTGTGCCACTCAGCTAACTCCCTGGCCCTTGAATTGCCACGAATTTGAGGCCAGCTTGGGCTACGTGGCGAGTTCAAGACCAGCCTGAACTACTACACAGAGAGACCCTGGCTCCAAAAAAGATAAAATGAGAAAGCAGACTTTGAAGCACTTCAGCGAACATCACTGCCTTTGGCCCTCACATCCACTATGTGAATGTTCAGTTATAGATAACCGTTGCCCCATTTTGATAAGATAGGAGAACCGAGAAACGGCAATTGCACAGGAGAGTTGGAAGTAGAAGACAGCACCCAGACTGGGAAAGCAGGTGGGGAGCGGGGAGCAGGATCCAGGGAAGGAGCAGAGCCGGCGGATGGGCTGCGGTGGGGAGCGGCACTGCACCAGGGACCCCAGCTCTTCCCAACTCCACTGAGAGCCTCTGGTCCTTGCCCTACCTTGCAGCTTCTGGCACCCGGGAGAGCCCAACGGGCTGGAAGAGTGCTGCGTGGAGCTCAGCTTCCGGGGCGCCACGGGCAGCTGGGGCTGGAACGACGTCTCCTGCCAGCTGCCTCGCGGGTCCGTGTGCAGGATGCCGGGGGTCGCTTATGAGGGGGCAGCCTGCGCCGCACCCACAGACAGCTGGCTTAGGCCCTGCGAGCTCGGTGCGGTGCCTGTGCCCTTCCCCGCCCCCCAGGGGTAGAATCGGGCGGGCACCGGGGTGGGGTACAGCACCTGCCTGCCTTCAGATCCCAGCACAGCAAATAAACTTTAGGAAACAATACAGTAAAACGCGTGCCCATGAGCGTGGGAGGCCTTTCTGCCCGAGAACACAGGGACTTGAACCCCCTTTCTAGTCTCACCCGAAGGCGTGAAGCAGCGCTGTGCCCCCCATTTTAACGTCCACGTTCGCCAGCCCTGACCCTCAGTGCCTCCGAAGGCAGACTTTGGGAGGAAGGCCTGGGAGGGAGGGAAGTTAAGTGGAAATGAAGCCTTCAGAGTGAGGCCCGACCCACCCACACTAGAGTCCTTACAAGAGGAAATTTGGAATCAAGCGTGGAGGTCCAAGGTGGGGGCCATCGCGAGTCTGGGTTTGAGGCCAGCATGGGTTACCTAGTGAGTTCAAGGCCAGCCTGAACTACAGAGCACAAGATCCTATCCCCCAAATAAAATAAATAGTAATAAAAAAATGCCGGGCATGTGGGTGCATGCCTGTAATCCCAGCATTTGGGAGGCCGAGACAGAAACGGCCACAAGTCCAAAGCCAGCCTGCACAACATGAGACAGACTCTAAAAAAACCAGCAAAAATATAGTAACTTTTGGGCGGGGGATTTAGCTCAGTGGTTCTGCCGCCTACCGCGTAAGCGCCAGGATCCGAGTTCGATCCCTGGTACCAAAAATAAAATTTTTTAAAGTCACTTTTGACAGAAATTAGATGAATACAAAGATTAATTAGAATTACACTGAGCAGCCGCCTGCCTCATGAGTGTAAGGTCCCAAGTTCAATCCCCAGTTCCAAAAAAGAATTACATTGAGCTCCATTTCACTTATTTCAAGATAATCTAATTTAAAACAGCAAGGCTTGTTTTGGCTCCTGGTGGCCCCGTGGCAGGTCACGTGGTGGCAGGAGTGTGGCCTAGGAATTTGTTCACCTTGGCAGCTGGGAAGCAGAGGAGGACAAAGAGCCCAGCTTCCATGTCCCCTTCAAGGGACCCCAGTGCCCTGACTTCCTGCTGTGAGGCCCCCAGAGGACCATTCCTCCTCCTACTGACACTGGGAGCTGGGGACCCTGGGCACAAGGACACACATCCCGGCCCCAGCATGGGGACGCACAGAGCACGAATCCCAAAGGCCTCTGTGGGAAACCCGTTGGGTTGAGGAACCTCAGCTATTGAGATAAACACGGCATTGCTCAGCTTTCCTGGCAGGGCACAAGATACCTGCCCCCCAAATTAAAGCGGGAGAGATTTAGACAGCTCACGGTTTCAGAGGGTTCCGTCCATGGTAGGCGACTCCGAGGCAGAAATGACACGGTAGAGAGTGGGGTGGAGGGAAGCGCTCAGCCCACGGCACCAGGCGGCAGAGAGAAGGGAGGAGCTGGGACAAGAACAACCCTTCCAGGTCACCCCCGGGGGCCCACCCTGCAGCCACGCCCCTGCTAGCAGCACACCGACCTATGAACTCAAGCAAGGATGAATACAGCTCCCCACCACCATCACCTGCTGAACCCCACCTCCGGGCACATAAGCCTTTTGGGACACACGTTAGATCTAATGACCACACATACGAAATGGCTTTGTTCTTCTAGTACCTCCTTCTACCAGGCTCTGGGAAACCCCTCTTCTCACATGGTAGCAAGGTCTTAGTAAAACCTTGCCAGACATGATGCTATTATGCCAGTAATCCCATCCCTCAGGAGGCTGAGGTAGGAGGATTGCTGTGAGTTCAAGGCCAGCCTGAACTGCATAGTGAGACCCTGTCTCAAAAACAAAAACAAAGAAAATTTCAAGCTGGCATAGTAGTACATGACTGTAATCCAAGTACTCTGGGAGGCTGAGGCGGGAGGACCGAAAGTTCAAATCCACCTTGGGCAACTTAGATACTTAGTGAGACCCCGTTTCCAAAAAAAAAAAACAGAAAAGGGCCTGGGGTTGTAGCTCAGTATCAAGGCCCTGGGTTCAATCCCAAGTAGCAAGAAGGAGAAATAGATATTTATACCTCATCTATATCGATCTCAGTCCAGGGGCTGGGGTGTAGTATCATGGTAGAGCACTTGCATGACATGCATGAGGTCCACAAAAGTAAAAATGAAATGTAGAAATACAATGCTCGATAGCTGGGTGTGGTGGCGCATGCCTGTAATCCCAGCACTCAGGAGGCTGAGGCAGGAGGATTGCTGTGAGTTCGAGACCAGCCTGGGCTACATCGTGAGTTCCGGGTCAGTCTCAACTACATAGTGAGAGCCTGTCTCAAAAAAAAAAAAAAGCTCAATAACTAAAGGAAAAATTTGCAGTAAGGTCCATAGGCCCGCTTCCCCTCCCCTGCTCTGAGAACAGTCAGCCAGTTCCTAGTCCTGCCCTCTGGGAGGAAGCACCACACCCACCTGCCAGACCACAGTACCCTCAGCCCCTCACCCCCCATCCCCACCCAGTCCTGAGCTGCTCCAGGGCCCCCACAACCCCAAACTCACTGTTTACTTAACAAACATGTAACCTCAACTTATAAATACCCCTCTGGGTTTCAGAGCTGGGTTGGACTCCAGCTCGCCCCCTGCCTTCTCCCCGCCCTTCCCTCCACCAAGGCTGGACTGAGGCTCAGGCTCCCACCATGGCCCTCGCTCCAGCGCAATTCTCAGCCCTCATGTCCTCCTGGGGCAGTCGCAGCCCCCCAAGTTGTTGCTGCCAACCATGCCCTTGGCCGCCTCTGTCCTTTTGCTTTTCTGGGGACTGCACCCGGGGCGCTTACTCTGAACTACACCACCAGCGCTTTATTTATTCTGACAGGGTCTTGTTAAGCAGATTCAGGCTGGCCTCAGACGTGCAGTGATCCTCCTGCCTGGGCCTCCCAAGGGCTAGGAAGGATTTCAGGCTCAAAGGCTCGCTCCACCACACCCAGCTAAAAATAAACTTACCAGGTGTGGTACATGCCTGTTACCCCAGCCCTTGGGAGGCTGAGGCAGAAGTGCCATGAATTCAAGGCCAGCCTGAACAATAAGATCCTGTCTCAAATCTCATTCCCACTCCAGCAAAAAAAAAAAAAAGTTTTAAGAGGCCGGTGTGGTGGTAGAAGCCTGTAATCCCAAACAAAACCCAGAACTCTTTGAAATCTGCTCGAGGTGCTGAGTTTACCTTGTCTGATGCGCCCTGATGTAACGGGAGCAGGTCTGCCGTCTCTGAGCTCCATTTCTCTATAAAAGGGGATACCAAGGGGGACCAACCTCAAGGGTTTGGAGAACCAAGTTAAGGCCTGAACGATACTCCAAACAATTCCAAGCATTCTGGAAACGTAAACCACTGCCATGCATTTCTAGGAGGCTGGAAGACACAGAGTGCCCTGCTCATTCACCCACGATCTTGGCTACTGAATCTCATTAATGTATACATTTTGTAAAACTGCAGGTAAGTTGGCTGTGCTTTTCACTAGGAGGCGATCCTGAAGTCCGTGCACGGCACCGTGCATGTGTACGTGGGCAGGCAGCACTGGGGCCCGGACCCGGGGTCCTCACACTGAGCCTCGCCCCCAGACCTTGTTAATTTTATTTGGAGACAGGGTCTCCACAAATCACTTTCATTGCCCAGACTGGGCTCAAGCTTTCCATCCTCCTGCCTCAGCCTCCCAGCTTTACCATTGCCTCCTGTTCCCCTCGCTGCAGGGCCGCCATCTGGTGTGACCGGTCGTCTAGGTGCACTGTATCCCGCAGCCTTGGGCCTTCCTCCCAGCACTGCTTTACCACTGGTCACACATGACAGCGGCCAGCCAGGGGACAAGGTCCTATCTCTTGCATCTATGAAGAATGCTGGGCCACCTACACGTGCCTCGGGCAGAAGTGACAAGGCAGACAGACACCCCTAAGGACCCCCACACACCATGGTTGTGATGTCCTGTGCCCTTCGTCTCACCCCAGCTTCCTGACGCACAGCAGCCCCCGGCCGCACTCCTGACCCCAACCAGTAAACACCCGCAGCCGCAGTCCTAGGCAACCTACACACAGGGTTATAAATCAGACACAAGGCCGGACACACGGCTCAATGCCAGGGCCCTTTGCCTCATGTATGCGAGGCCCTGGGCCCCCTGGCAGGGACCTTCTCCACCAAAAAAGGCCGGGCATGGTGCCCCACATCTGTAATCCCAGCACTCGGGGAGGCTGAGGCAGGAGGATCACAAGCCCAAGGTCAACCCCATCAACCTACTGATACCTGTCTCAAAACAAAGGCAAAGGGTAGGTGTAGCTCAGTGAGAAGGACCTGAGTTCAATCCCCAATGCCACAGACACAAGAAGCAAAAAAAAACTAGACACAGTGAACACACTAACAATGCCCACTAACAAAACAGAATTGGAACAATTTGCTCATACTGTTTGGAATTTATGGCTGAGCAGAGGCCAGCCTGGACCATGCAGCAAGACTACGAAACTGAAGTTTCCACCTGCAATTTCCCGCTTCATCCCCTCCTGCTGTCAATCAACCGTGCCTAGCTACACTCCCATAAAAATCCGAAAGGACCGATCCTCCCCCAACACGGTGCCCTACCATGGAGCCGTAGCCCCAGCTCTTTTAATTATGTTCATTTGCAGGGTGGGGGACCCAGACCAGGGCCTTGTTCCCGCTGCACAAGGCTCTGCGGCTGTGCTATAACCCTAGCCCTGTTGTTGAGACAAGATCTCTCTAAAGTTCCCAGGCTGGCCTCAGAATCAGTATCCTCCATCCTCAGCCTCCTAATACTCCGAGGACAGGTGCTGAGGGCTTCCAGATGGCTAAATATGGTGACACAGAACTGGTAGCTCCAGCACTCAGGAGGATGAGGCAGGAGGATCCCAAGTTGAAGCTAGCCTGGACTACACAGAGGCCCTGTTTCAAAAACCCAAACAACCATAGAGTTAAGCGCAAGGGGTTTCTGGAGAGTGCTGGCTGAGGCACAGGAGTCCTGTGTCCTTTCGCCCATGCACCTCTTAATGGGCTGTTCCTCTGTGGCCTTTGCAGTATGTCTAGGAGTTTCCTGAGTCTGTGGGTTGAGAGGCTCTGGCAGAGTGACCCCCCACAGCTGCCCAGTCAGAAGCATTGGACCTGCATCTAGACTGCAGCTTTGTGGAGAGGCCCTCACTTGGCACTGGGACCTGCAGTCACACTGGGACAGCTCCAGACTTAGCTGGGCCAGCACGTTCTCAGCCACAGGAGGTCAGCTCAACATGTCCACCGACTTCTCCATCCGCTGGGTTCCTTGCTCCTCACCTGCAGCCTTGGGCAGAACCGGGCAGTTACTTTCTAACTACCCAAAGTCGGGACAAAAATCACAAACTGTTACGGTTACCCTCTAGGGCTCTGGTGAAGATACTGTTCATTGAATCAAGAACAAGAAGGCTGGGGATTTAGCTCAGTGGTTCTGCAACCTGCTTCACAAGTGGAAGGACTTGAGTTCAATCCCCCCCATACAAAACAAGAATATATATTCAAGAATATTTTTTGGTACTGGGGATTGAACTTGGGACCTTGTGCTTTCCATGCAGGTGTCAAAACCACTGAGCTAAACCCCCAGCCCCATATAAGAATATTTTCAATTCCCCCATACCGAAAAATAATTTTTAGAAAATGCTAAAATAGGTTCATTTTATCCAGGTGTGGTGGCACACACCTGTCATCTCAGCACTTGCGAGGCTGAGGCAGGAGGATCACCGAGTTCAAGGCCAGCCTGGACTACATAGTGAGACCCCCCCCCCGCCATTCAAAAAACAAGTCAATTTTAATAAGTTCTTCTGAAAATAAAATGTTACATCACAATTTCCTTTTATTGCAACTCAAAGATTGGTGAGAACCAGAAAAATCCGCCCATCCTTGGGGTTCACAATAGATTTTAGGCTTTAAAACACGGAGAAGGCTGGAGACCTACCACAGCTTCTCTGGGTCAAACAAAGCCAAAGCGCATTGACCTCATTCCCTCCACAGACTAAGACTCTGACTCTGTGTTGTCATCAGTCCCTATTCTAGCGTTCTCCGAAGGGTCCCAGGCGTGGGACACACAGAAGCTGCACAGGCACATGAAGGGCGTGCTTCTCGGTTCATCCTGGACGAGAGGAGAAGGGTTAGCTGAGACAGTGCATCCTACAGAAATGAACAACCCCCCATCTACTGTTAAGAAACCCCTGGGCATGGTGCACACACACCTTATAATCCCAGCACTCAGGTAGCTGAGGCAGGAGATGCGGGCCTGCGGGCAGCATGAACTTCTTGGCAAAACCCTATCTCAGAAAAGTAAAATAAAAAAGGCGCCGTGGTGGCGCACGTCTGTACTCTCAGCACTGGGGAAGCTGAGGCAGGAGGATCGCTGCCAAGTTTGAGGCCAGCCTGGGCTACATAGTGAGACTTTGTCTCAATAACCAAAATAAAAAATGGATAGACAGGGGGCTGAGGTGAGGGAATGCTGAGTTCCAGCCCCGCTGGATTCAGCAACTCTGAGAGACCCGCGCCCAGGCCCGGGTTCCATCCGGGGACAAACGCGGACGGCTTTCTCCCGAGGGGGGTCAGATCGTCCTCGCCAACTCCCCTCCCTGCTCCAAGCCACAGTCCCGAGCCGGCGCGGATGTCATGGCGACGCAGATACGCCGTAGCACCTCTCCACTTGCCTGGGTTCCCTTCAGATGCTCGTTCCTGAGGGCCTGCAAAGAGGAAAAAAGCTCTTATTGGAAACCAGCAAGGAGGGCTGCCCCGGTGCACGGGCAGACTCGGGACGGGGGT